AAAAAAAAACAAGCTAAAAAAAAAAAAAGAGGTTTTTGCCTTAGGGTGCATGCCCTCTTGGGGGAGGAGAGAGAGACAGAGACAGAACAGTGAGAGGGAAAGTGAGAAATTACCCCCTCCCCCAGGAGACGGCCACACTGCAATTCCTTTCTTCATTCTTCTCCCAGGATCTTCGGCGCATGCATACATGTCTGGCATGATTTTCAAGCCACTGGGTCTAGAACTCTACCCGTGGTCTGCCATGCGGGAGTGCAGTGATGCAACCACTACACCATCTGTTGGCCCAAAGTATTATTTTCTTAAAAATAAAAATCACTGGAGGGACCAGCAGTTAGCATAATGGCTATGTCACTGGACTCTCAAGTAGTCGACTGCAGTTCGAGTCCCAGACCCGGTGGCTTAAACTCACACTGGGTGTGTGTGCGTGTATGCCCAAGATCCCAAAAGGAGAATGGAGGAGAAGGAATTGCAGCGTGGTCATGCCCCTGGGGGGTGAGTTCTCGCTTTCTGTCTTTCTGTCTCTCTCTGTCTTTCTAGTAAGTGCACGCGCCCTATAGCAAAAACCTCTCAAAAAATAAAATAAATAAATTAATTAATTAAAATCTCTGGAAATGGTCCTAAGGGGATACAGCAAACATTTATTCCAGAAAATCTTCTAAAACTCAGTAATCTAACAGGGAGAGTCTATGGCATATAAACCACAACCCTCTCCCTTCCTTTCCCCCATCTTCCTGTTCTCCTTGATGGAAGGTACACTCCAGGCAGTAGTGGACTTCTTTCTGCCCCAGTCCCAAATCAAGGAATACAGGGGGAGGAGCAAACAGCCAGCATTTCTCACCACCTCCAACACAGGTTTGAAGGGGTGAAATACCTGCTGAGTACAGCCAAGAGTTCAGGGGTTCCCTTCTTTTAGGTGGCCCCCACTCACAGAGTGAGACTCTACCTCAGGCACAACAGACTGGGAATACTAAGGCCCCAGTCACCCTCACCCTGACTGCCTCTGCGCAGAGCTCACTTGTAGAGCTAAGTTTCATGCCTACAGAGGTAAGCAAGAAGACCAGTGGCTATTGCCACTGCCCAGCTTCCAAAGCACTGGCTTAAATAATTTTCCTGGGAATAAAGACTGTTCATAAAAACAGGAAGTTCCCATCTATCTCCCAAAAGACTATTTGAATTGGTTTCAGGAAGTTGAAGTCAAAAGATTCTCCCCAAAGAATAAAGATTTTGATACTACACAATTAAGAAGAAGCAGGTAACCTTATGACAACAATTTAGGCTATAAGGCACATATTTTACTAGAGACAAACAGGGAAAAAGAAAGCTTTAAAAAAAGCCATCCTGAGACTGGAAGAATTAAGCATTGATACATGCCACAACATCAATGAATTTTGAAAATAATAAGCTAAATGAAAGAATCCAGACACAAATGGCCATATATATGATTCCATTTATATGAAATGTCCCGAATGGGCAAGTCCAGAGACAGTGTATACTAGGGGTTGCCAGGGGCTGTGAAGAGGAATAGTGGGGAGTGATTATAAATGGGTATAGGGTTTCTTTTGGGGGTAATAAAATGTTTTCAGGTTACATAGTGATGATGGTTGTACATTCTCTGACTATAAGAAACCACTGAATTGGGACCAGCAGTTAGTGTAATGGCTACGGCTATGTCGCTGGACTCCCATTTTTTTTTTTCCTGAAACACCACAGCAGTTGCTTTATTCTTGACTTTGTACTTTACAAAACCACAAGGAAGAAGTCCTCAATGGAGAGGAGGATGGGGAGGTGGAGGTGTGGGTGTGGAGGGAGGTGAAAAGGGGGAAGAGGAAGATCCAGAAACAAAGCCCCCACTCATCTTGGGGACCAAGCAGACAGTGGGCCTCAGGCCAGCCCAGCAGGCTCTCCTGTGGCCTGGCTATACTGAACTGGGCAGAAAAGACCTCGGGGACAGGCAACCATCCTCTAGAGACTGCAGTCATTTGAAAGGCAGCCATAGGCCGAGGTTCGAGTCCTGGACCCGGTGGCTTAAACTCATGCTGGGCGCATATGCATGAGTGACCAAGATCCCAAGAGGAGAATGGAGAAGAAGGGATTGCAGCATGGCCATCCCTCCTGGGGAGGGGGGTAATTTCTCCCTTTCTGTCTCTCTGTCTCTCTCTGTCTTTCTGGTGAGCGCACGTGTCCTATAGCAAAAACCTCCCCAAAACAAAACAAAACAAAACTAACTAACAAAATACTGAATAGTACACTGTAAAGGGGTGACATTTTTAAAAGAATCATTTATTTGTTTATCATTATTATTATTTTAAAATTTGCTACAGGGCATATGTCCTCACCAGAGAGAGAGACAGAGAAAGGGAAAGTGAGAAAGCAAGCCATTAGGTCCAGAACTAGAACTGTGGTTGGTAATGTGGACGTCCAGCACCTCAATCACCATGTCACCTGCTGGCCTGTAAAGAGGTGACCTTTAAGCTACATAAATTATACCTCAATTATGCTGATATTTTAAAAATACATTATTGGTCCAGGACGTGGTGTGGAGTTTAAGGTACTGGATCCCACATGGCTAACCCTCGTGGCTTGAAAATTATGCTGTGTTTGTGTGTGCCCAAAATCCTGAGAGGAGAATGAAGAGACTGTGGCATGGTCATACCCCCTGGGGGGTGATTTCTCAGTTTCTCTCTCTCTCTCTGTCTTTCTCTAGAGTGCACATGCCCTACTAAAAGGAAAAATAAAAGACAAAACAAAACAAAAAAAGGAACATAACATCTCAGTAAATGCAATAAAAGCCTTTTTGACAAAATTCAACACCCTTTCATCATAAAAACATTCTATGAACTAGGAAGAAGAGAACCTCCTCGACATGATAAAGGGTATTAATGAAAAATAACACTAACATCACATTTAATGATGGAAGACTAAATACTACTATTAGGAACAAACCAAAGGTATCTGCTCTTGCTAATTCAATTCAATGATAGTTTGGAAATTCTAGCAAGGACAACCAGGCAAGAAAATAAATAAATAAACAAATGAATGAGCAAACATCCAGATTGAAAAGAAAAATGTAAACTCTCTTCATTCACAGACAAAATGATCATGAATATAGAAAAGTTTTAGAAATCTATTTGAACAATAAACAAGTTCAGGAAGGTTGTGTGATACAAGATTACCATATAAAGAATTGCATTTCTATATTATAATAATGAACATTCACAAATGAAATTAAATATATAATTCCATTTATGATTGCCCAAAAAGAATAAAATACTTAAGAACAAATTTAAAAAAGAGAATTGTTAGAGCTAAAGGTGGCACAGTGGTAAAACAGAATGTTCTGTGAGAAAAATCCCACAATGGAAGGTTCCCAAGTTCAAGTATGGAGACCTATGTCCTCTTAGGCATGCATGTGCCCATGATCTGGGGCTTGCTGCAAGCTGGGGGTGAGTTGCAGCTTTGGGATCCAGTTGAGGATTCTGTCTCTCTTTACCTCTATCTCTTTCTCATCATGCAGGAATAAACTTTTCAAAAAATTACAGAAAATTGAAAGACATTAATCTCATGTTTATCGAT